CTCACAGACACACTCTCTTAAAGATCAGGACCCCTGTTTCATTTTGATTTACTAACTGCTGGACTCTTAAGTGATTCAGTCTGTGTATATCTGACATTGAGAGACCTACTCATCCAGCTTAGGTTGATATAAATTCACCTATCATATGTGGGTATACTGCTTCGCCTTTGAGAATATGAAAGCTCAGATGGCCCAATCTGGAATCTTCCCTTTATGTCGTCATACGGGGAAAGGTTACCTCCCCTTTCTCTGCTTTGCCCGCCCAGAGAATTTGGCCCGCCCATGAGAAAATTAGCTACTACCGTGCGAGGCGAGCGCAATATTTTTTATTTTCCTCGAGAGACATCATGGCTTGCAAACGAGCGAAGCATGGCAGTTGCCCCGCCTCTCTCCTCCTCATTAGCATTTAAAGCTACAGACACAGAAATGGCACGTCCTAAGGAAAGCTCATTGTGGGACTGGCTCGTAGTGGCTGAAATTCTGCACCAAGGCTGAATTTCGGGAAAGAGACTTCAGATACAGTACTAGGGACCACTTAGGCCTATATAAAAGCATCTAAAAAGCAGCATGTCATGGGACCTTTAAGTGATTCAGTCTGTGTATATCTGACATTGAGAGACCTACTCATCCAGCTTAGGTTGATATAAATTCACCTATCATATATAGACCACAGTCTGTAAACCACACACACGCAAACATGGAAAAGTCCTTGAATATCGGGTGCATAAACCACTAAAATGAATGAAGAGGAACACTCTCAAAACTGATGACAGCGTCTGCCAAAAAAGGAACAGATGCCATTTAAAGCTTAGTGACAGGGATAAACGGACTAGCGCTGCAATGAATAAATCAACTATTATTATTATTTAATTATTTTTATTTTTTTATTTTTATTGTTTGCTGTTGTTTTTACTAGTTTTATTTATTATGGGACTTTTTTGTTTGTTTGTTTTATAAAAATATGTCTATATACAGTAGTTCTTATTCATTTTAATTTAAGATTTAGTTTAGTAAAAGAAAACGAGAAATTATACCTTGCCAACTATCTGAACTAAAATATGTTTAACTTTTTTATATTTTATTTCAGTTCACATTCATTTCAAGTACCAGAAATATATTTTTTTATAGTTGTAGTTTTATTACACAACAATAACCCTGCTCTAGAGTTTCAGAAGTGATCTTAATGCTTCAAACTGCTCAAATGTGACCCTGGACCACAGTCTTAAGTCGATGGGGTATATTTGTAGCAATAGCCAAAAATACATTGTATGGGTCAAAATTATAGATTTTTCTTTTATGCCAAAAATCATTAGGATATTAAGTAAAGATCATGTTCCATGAAGATATTTTGTAAATTTCCTACTGTAAATATATTAAAACTTTATTTTTTATTAGTAATATGCATTGCTAAGAACTTCATTTGGACAATTTTAAAGGCGATTTTCTCAATATTTAGATTTTTTTTTGCACCCTCAGATTCCAGATTTTCAAATAGTTGTATCTCGGCCAAATATTGTCCTATCCTAACAAACCATACATCAATGGAAAGCTATTTATTCAGCTTTCAGATGACGTCTAAATCTCAATGTCAAAAAATTGACCCTTATGACTGGTTTTGTGGTCCAGGGTCACAAATATATAAAGCAAATACACAAATATGATGCTTAAATGCTAGGATAGGCTCCAGCATCACAGCAGCCTATGGACAAGCAGTTTGGAAAACATTATTGTTAATAACAAACAATAACTACTGTAAATATATTAAAACTTTATTTTTTATTAGTAATATGCATTGCTAAGAACTTCATTTGGACAACTTTAAAGGCGATTTTCTCAATATTTAGATTTTTTTTTGCACCCTCAGATTCCAGATTTTCAAATAGTTGTATCTCGGCCAAATATTGTCCTATCCTAACAAACCATACATCAATGGAAAGCTATTTATTCAGCTTTCAGATGACGTCTAAATCTCAATGTCAAAAAATTGACCCTTATGACTGGTTTTGTGGTCCAGGGTCACAAATATATAAAGCAAATACACAAATATGATGCTTACATGCTAGGATAGGCTCCAGCATCACAGCAGCCTATGGACAAGCAGTTTGGAAAACATTATTGTTAATAACAAACAATACTCTGATTAATAATCTATTTGGCCACATTACTTTTAACTACATAACTTTTTGAGCCAATCACCAGTGCTGCAGATGGAATAATAATCACTTTGAAATGGCTCGAACACTGTATAGACCAATCAGAATAGGATCTATTTTTTATCATGTACTTTATTAAACGTTTCCCAAAATAAGAATGAAGTATATTTTAAATGCATGTCCTTGATTATGACATCCTGTCAACACACACACATACACAGGCACACAAACACTCATAATTTGTTGTCAGAGTTGGACTGCTATAATATAAAGAACTTTCCACAGACACGAGCAGCAACATAAAATTACAAGAGTGTTCAAGTTTGCACTGCAGATGACAGACAAAATATTTTTTTTCTGGATAGCTACAGCATGGTTGTAAAGAGTGAGCAGTGTGTGTGTGTGTGTATGTGTGTGGTTGTGTGTAGCCACTGCAGCATGAATGTGTTTTGAACATGAAAATAGATTGCCTACTTCATATCACCAGAGAGAAATCCAGACAGAGGGAAAGAAAAGCAGAGAATTTAAAATGAGTATGTGACGGACAGCTCCGAGTACAGAAATATAAAGACTCAAGGATGAAAGTAAACGGTCTTAGACTCGTGTTCATTTTTCATTCCACTTCTACAGCTGAGACAGAGCTGCTTACGTGAGATTACCAAAAAAAAATTATAATAAAAAAACCTTTGATGCTCAAGTCATTTGTACTGCTTTTATAGTACCATTTATTTATATTTAAAATAATTAAATGAAAATAAATAATTAATTTAAATATATACATTACTGTTCACATTTTTAATGTTTATGACAGGAGGTTCTTATGTTTACCAAGGCTGCATTTATTTGATCAAAAACACAGTAACAACAGTTATTTTGTGAAATATTAATACAATTTAAAATAACTTTTATATTTGAAATTTTTAAATGAATTTATTCCTGTGATGCAAATCATGATCCTTCAGAAATCATTCCGATTTGATGCTCAAGAAACATTTCTTCTTATTGTCAGTGTTTAAAACAGCTGTGCTGCTTAATATTTTTGTGTAAACTGTGACAAATTTACAGATACATTTTTCTAGATTTGTTTGCAACATAAATGTCTTTACTGTCACTTTTGATCAATTTAATGCATCCTTGCGGAATAAAAGTATTAATTCCTTTAAAAAAAAAATCTTAATGACTTCAAACTTTTAAATGGTAGTGTAGTAAACAAACTATTCCTAACAGGGGTTTCTCCTTCTCTTCTCTATTAATTTTTTATTGCCTTTCATTTTTTTTTAGGTTATTCTTTTGGCTCAAATTTTCATGGGATTCATAGGCGCTAATTATGGCCCAGCCAGGGGGAAGCCGTTCATACACACTCACAGAGGACTGTGCACATCCACATCAGTGTTAATTGAACAATACCATCCCTGTACTGTCACTTTTGATCAATTTAATGCATCCTTGCGGAATAAAAGTATGAATTCCTTTAAAAAAAAAAAATCTTAATGACTTCAAACTTTTAAATGGTAGTGTAGTAAACAAACTATTCCTAACAGGGGTTTCTCCTTCTCTTCTCTATTAATTTTTTATTGCCTTTCATTTTTTTTTAGGTTATTCTTTTGGCTCAAATTTTCATGGGATTCATGGGTGCTAATTATGGCCCAGCCAGGGGGAAGCCGTTCATACACACTCACAGAGGACTGTGCACATCCACATCAGTGTTAATTAAACAATACCATCCCTGTGATTAAGAGGTGTCGGGTTGGGAGTAACTTAAAGCTGGATAATGAAGAAAAACTGTGGTTCTTTCTCTTTCACACATAGAAACACATTTGCACCTCTCTTCTCACATTCTCTAACGTTTAAAAATTGACATTCTTGAGAGCCAAATTATAAAAATTCTTACAGCCCTAATCGGTGCTAATTATGGCCCAGCCAGGGGGAAGCCGTTCATACACACTCACAGAGGACTGTGCACATCCACATCAGTGTTAATTGAACAATACCATCCCTGTGATTAAGAGGTGTCGGGTTGGGAGTAACTTAAAGCTGGATAATGAAGAAAAACTGTGGTTCTTTCTCTTTCACACATAGAAACACATTTGCACCTCTCTTCTCACATTCTCTAACGTTTAAAAATTGACATTCTTGAGCCAAATTATAAAAATTCTTACAGCCCTAATCTAAGGAAAGCATGTACTGCAAATACAGCAGGAGGTTCAAAAATGTACACAACACCATGCAGAATGTGTGGGAGTGTGAGAAATCAGGCAAGTCTGTATGCAGCATGTACACTGTGTACAGCAAATTTTCTGAATACCCAGAAAACATTGCATGGAATATTGTGTCCCACAGTGCAATCCAATGCATCTTCCATTTCCAGTGCCATAATAAATAAAATCACAAATGACATCTCTTTAATATCAGAATAGTTTCTCCAAGAAATGAAATGGAGACTTTTTGCTCAGATGTTTCTCCTGAATCATTGATTTACTATTATAATTTTTATTGTTATTTGAATTTATTTTTATATTTTCCAATTTCACTTTAATTTTAGGTAAAGTTTTAGTCATTTGTACAGGTTTTTTTTAAATACATGTCTAAATATGTTTTAATTTTTATTCATCCGAGACAAAATTGATGCATCACCCTTTGAACTTTTGTTGTTCCTGCATACTGTTTCACATACTATTATTTAAAAATGCTATGCAGCATACGGTGTTGTGTAGTATGCATTAATCAGTACTGTATTCCATTCCAAATATAGCCATAGTATCATATTTGTGTGAATGCATTCATTTAGTTTGCTCTGTGTGAGAGAATGTGCAGACATTGATTTGTGAAGGTCTGTGTGACACTCACTCTGCGGGAGGGTTGATATCATCTGGTTTGGTCTCGAAGAAGCGGAGAACTTCTTCACTCTGCGAGATCTGGGGAGGAAGCCGAACCAGCGCCTGACAGACAGACAGGACATGAAACCGGACAATCAGACCCCAAACAACAGAACAATCACTCAGAAACACAGCAGATTAATGAATCCCCACTATACCACATGTTATTTCCTTTGAAATCTCCTTAAGGGTCAATGATAAATACGGATGTCCAAGGTGACGAAAAGGAAAATCTTGTAAATTCAGGAAGAGAAAACATAATTTTCTGCATGAATTGGATTTATGTTTTGAAATGTGTGGAACGCTACAAAAAGCAAAGAAACCTCTATTTGTGATTTTAGTTTAAACTACTTGACTTGGATCCTAAAGGAGCCATTTTGCTTCAACAAATCGCAAAAACATTTGTCTAACAAATTCAGTCTGTGTTCCGACTGCTTTGGAAGCTCTCAAAAATGATTTGAAAATTAGAGAAAGAACAAAGGGGAAAAAATAATAAGGAAAGAGGGAGAGAGACAACTCCTCTGAAGAATCCCTGGAGTAAACCCTGTTATTTATTTATCTTTGAAGAACACAATGCAATTAAATGGAGATGGTTTGTCTAATTAAAGCTTTCAGGAAATAGCTGGTAAACTTCATACATTTAAGCAAAGACACATCCCTCTCTCTCTCTCATGAAGGGATTTTGATGTGTAGAGGAAATCTGGAGGAAGTTAGTTATTTAAATGTCATATAATCAACTGTCACATAATTAAAGGCTAATTTAAATAAATGTTAAACAAAAGCTGTCAATTTAGAATGGTTAAAAAATAAATAAATAAAATACATGTCCCCTGAACCGTACACAAACTCAATAAGGAATTGTACTAATATTTTGTTTTTTTGTTTAGTTTTTTTGCAAATTAATATTATTCAGTCTTTATGAGCATAAAGTCTTTGTGTTGTCTTTATTTATGCGCAATTCACATCAAATATTTACATATGCGATTAATCATTTTACTACAATTTTTAATCAACTGACATTATAGATGGGCATCTAAGGACACATTTGCGTTAATATGTTCTAAACTATTTTTGGATGTGTTTTTTTAATGTCTTTCATGTAGAAGTCATGGAAATTGTTGCCACAACAGCAGTCCTTCCAAGACATTCCATAATGCTACCTATCTCACTGTCTCAGCCCACTTTAACAGCTGCTCTCCAGTGTGTGTGTGTGTGTGTGTATTGTTTAAAAAAAAAGTGGGCTCTCTTCCATCAAGAAGGAGGGGGAAGGAAAGAAAAGGAGACAAGTCACTCAAGGGGAAAAGATAAAGAGAAGGAGAAATAGAGAGAAGGAAGAAACAAGTCGTTAAAGCCCCTCAAGCTAATTTTAAGGGTGTTATTGGGTAACCTATAGCTATTGGCAAAGTAAACGTGACAGTGAACACCAATAAGTGCAAGTGTCTGTTTGCTGTCATTTATATGCTTGTGTAACCCAATGCGATGTGTTGGTCAAATACTTTAACAGACTCATTTTCATGTGTTGCAAGAAATTTGTTGTTCAATACATTAGCATAATCATATTTTAACAAGATGGGAGATATTATCTGATAATGAAGCAAATTCATACTCAAAACCTGATGTGGTGAACATGCAGAAAACTTCAGCGCCGCTTCCCTTCGCTTAGGGTGAAATTTGTGGTTTGGGGGGATCTGACACTACTACTTAAAGCTTGAAACCCCCCAGAGGAAGTCAAAACAATAGGTTGGGGGGTCTTGAAAATGCATAAAGGAAGGAAGGAAAGAGAGACTTACTCTGCAATAGTCATCAATAAAGCGTAGTCTCTTCATGGCCACGTCTCTCACATGACTTCGTCGAAATAGGATTTTGCCTTTAAAATAAAAGGTAGAATGAAGTATGTGGTCTACTTCAAAAAATCATTCTGTAATAACAGTATGTAATAACATAATGTTATCTATAATAAATGTATCTAGTTTCCAGAAATAGCTTTTTGTTGAAATTGCAAGAATGACTTGAATCATAGTTTGGAAAGCAGTTAGAATGCATTAAAAATAATACACAAATCTGTTGCATTCAATTACATTGCTTTCCAGAAAGTGTGTTTATAATTTCATATTGCTACATGATTGCTTTTATGTTTGATAAAATAAAATAATATAAAATAAAATAAAACATAAAAAAGCATCTTAAATAACTATTTATCTTATTTGTGGCCAATCCAGTGAAAATCTTGACAGGGAAAGTAAAAATCAGAAGTACTGGCCCAATTGGAGAAAAAAAATTATCTTTATTGCTGAGCCCTGCTCAGTGCTGTGAGCAAAATGCAGTGCATTTTAGAATAACCAATAAGAAAATGTTTAGATACATGATACACAGGACAGCTACTGAAGAGAGACGCCATGTGTTGTTCTTCAGATCTGGAACATCGTAATCAGATTCAGACGTTTGGAGGAGATAAGATCACCACATAGCACCAAGCTCCAGCTGTCATGCTCTCCTGACTCAAGCTGTTTATGCTCAAGGAAACACTGAGAGATACTTAACATCGTGCAAAATGAACAAAATCCTTGTGATCAAAACCTTCATAAATCAGCCGTAGATTCACCTTGACTTGTTCGGTCTCATATACTACTATTATTGTATGTGCTCCTACACTGAAAAAATGTTGGTGTAAAAAAATGTTTTACTCAGAAATCGCTAGTAAATTTCACAAGTAATGACAAGCAACACTTGAAATTGAATGGCTTTTAGTCTTTTTGTCTGGTAATTTAAAATTTAACATATAAAGTGTTTAAGATGTAACTATAAAAACCATTTGATTCAATGGAAATGGGTGAAAATACTGAAGATCACAAACATTTAATTATAGAAGTTTATAGAGGCCTGATTGTACTTTGCATTTATCAAACCATGGCATGGGGCCTTTTAACAACAACAAAAATAATAATAATACCAAATACATTACAGTATATAGATATCATATTTGTATAGATAGAAATCTGATCTGTCCTAGTGGAGTCTAATAATCAGACTGGAATTAAACGGATAGATTTAATAGCTTGACACTTGACACCCTATTATTCCCTTACAAATGCTCTGAATGGATTTATAATCCACTTAATATTCTAGTAATCTAAACAATTACATTGCATTCCAGTAAATAATCTAATGGAGGAAGTAATAATCTGAGCTAGTGTGTGCATATGTGAGAACAAACAGAGAGAATCAGAGGGACTGCTGGAAAACAAAGAACAAGAGAGACACTAAATCTCCAGGGAATAGAGCAGCCGCATCAGCAAGCCGAGAAAACGTGCCTCGATCGCTCTGTGTCTCTGTCCCGCTCTTCTCATTTTCTTCTTATTGATGGCTTTTGTTCTGAGGGAACGGTGCTGCTCATCTCAGTGACTCATGTGCCTGCTTCCTGCATGTGTGTAAGTCAAGAACAGATGTACAACCCCGTCCCAGCATAACCGTGACTTATTGTGGACAGATCTGCTGACACCATGTACTTGCAGGTCTGTGTGTTTGTGTTTGTGTTTGTGCAGAGGAGAGGAAGTGGAGGACAAACTCCTCCTCAAATCACCTGGAAGAAAAGGGATAATCCTTTTTTTGGGATCTTTCTGCCCTCCCTCGATTGGGAACTTGTCAAGAATCTGCATCTGTGGGAAGACGCAAGAAACACAATGTAAATGACACAATAGTCAATAATAGACAGCATTAACTATCAATATTAATACAGTAACAATAAACAGAACTATTTACATACACATCATTTAATATATAATGATGCAAATTAATCGTTAAATCAGAGTTCAGAAGCAATTCACTGACAATTTAGACTGATTCATGAAAATGAATTTAACTTGCGAAATGTGCGACGCGTTTGCCACGAATGCACCATATTCGATTTGTTGACAACAGGTGCAAAACAGCGATTGTAGTTATCTCCACCATGGTTGATCACGCTATGTTTTTATTCGCACGAGTGACACGGAAAACATCCCGCGAGTAATCTAGAGAGAGTGACGTGATGCGCATATTCGCTTCGCGTCTGGTGTGAACACACCATAAAGCCCAGTTCACACCGCCAGCGACTTTTTCGCTGTTTGTCGCTTGTAGCTGGCAATTGATGTCGCTAGTGGGCGTTCACTCCACTACAGCAGATGAATCACGTGCTCTCCACTGACTTCACTCCCATTGGCTGTCGCTCCCGAAATTCGCTGCTTATTTGCATAAAGTTGAAGAATTCTGAACTTTTGTCGCTTGACTCGCATCGCTTGACACGCCCACATTCTGTCACCAACGGTCACTGTCGCTCGTGTCGCCGGAAGTCGCCAGCTCTCCATTGAAAATGAATGGGATTATGTCGCTCTGTCGCTGTGTGTCGCTGGCGGTGTGAACAGGTCTTAAGAATTAAAAACAACTACAGGAAACCATCAACAGAAGCTGGGAGATTCTTCATGAGCTGCACTCATGCAAATGTGACCCTGTAAGAGCTCTGACTGGAAACTCCCAGTGGGCTTTGCTCATTAGTGAAAACATTTACAAGAAATGAGAGATTGAGTAAATGTTTAGAAGTAGCTTCTGTGGGAACCAAATAAAGAGGAGAAAGACAAAGGGAAAACATACTCTAAATGAAAATGAGTAATAATAATGGCATTTGATAAAAAGTATATCAACAGCACTTTTACACAAATCAGACTTTTCCGAAAATCTGTTTCCTTCAATTCTACTTTGAAATCTTCCAATTTAGAAATGTTAGATGCAGACTATTTAGAAGTAAAACATGTTAAAAAAAAAACTTTATTTATAGTCTCTATATTGTTTTTTTTTATCTCTAAATGTAGAGTCTTAAGAATATGAAGAAAAAAATGTTTGGGGCCGACAAGATTTGTTAAAGTTTTTGTAACATTAAAAAGAAAATGCTCACAAGGGCTGCATTTATTTTTAGAATTTTAATCAATCAATAATTTATTCTTGTAATGGCAAAGCTCTTTTTCAGTAGCCATTACTACAGTCTTCAGTGTCACGTGATCCTTTAGAAATCATTCTAATATGCTGATTTGATGCTCAAGAAACATTACTTATAATTATTAATATTGAAAAAGGTTGTGCTGCTTAATATTTTTGTGGAAACTGTGATGCATTTTTTTTTTCAGGATTCCTTGATAAACAGAAAATTCAAAAGAACAGCATTCATTTGGAATGTGTCTTTGCTGAATAAGTATAAATATTAGTATTAATACCTTTAATAAAAAATCTGACCCCAAACTTTTAAACATACAGTGCAACATGCTGTCAAATTGAATCAATCAGTCAGCATGGTTCTCTTTAATGAGTCAGTCGACCAATTGGTGAATCAGACTGAATTGAACATGAAGGTTTTGATGTTTGATTCTAAATGAGCCAAAAACTATTACGGTGTTATTTGTACTTCAGAAACCAAAGTTAAATTGCTTATTTGTAAGGTTAGGAAAACATTGGTCTAACTACTGTAAGGTTGTTAATTTGACAAATCCAGTACACTCAAAAACAAAATGCGGCAGGAAACATTGTTATAATCTTTGGAAATAGAATCTTTAGCTCTACCAAACTGAAAAAAACAATAATACAGGAAAACATGAAAACTGAGAGAGACATTTAGAGTTTGAGGCTCTCTTTCTCTTTCTGTCTCTTTTTCCTTCTATATGGCTTTTCTCTCCCATGAGGCCTGTCAGAATGTCTTTTCTCCTGGTACAACAAGGTCAGACTGGAGCGAGGACACACCCGATGTGCAGCGTCTCTCACTGTTTGTGTCACTGCTGGTCTTGCTGAAATATCTCCCCCAAATGCTTTAGCATGAATCCATGGCACACCGGGAAAGGAGTATTTGAAATCTGAGCCATTCTATAATTGAGGACAGACAAAGATCACACACACACACACACACACACACACACACACACATCTAACCCCTGTGTTTATATATGTGGGGTCAATGCCAGCACAGTCGCTGGTGCACACTGATAGGGTTGTGAGGATCTGGGTCAGATGGCATGAAGAATTGGAGGATAAAATCAGATCACGTCTCACAGATGTCTAACGTCTTGCACTTTTATTTTCCCAAGATCCTGAACTTATTCTGCAGATAATATCACAATTTTTGTGCTTTTTGCAGATAATATGAGTCACTCTCAACCACAGAGCAGCTAGACATGTACGTTTATATTTCACAAGTTCGCCTGCCCATTCAGCCCTGCCAGTTAATGGTAAACAAGCTTGGCTTGCTGTCCACGAAGGAGGCTCAAACCCGAGGCTCAGTTCAAGCTCTGAGTAAGAACCCCCACTTATGATAGTACAGTGTGGAGGAAAAGGAGAAGGAATTAGAGGAGGTGCCGGAAGAATTGTCGCTGGAACGGAGCAATGGCTGCTGCTTATATACGGTCGTAGCGATGATTGACAGGACTGGATGATTAGGTTCCTCCCGAACCTGCGTTGGGAACTTCAAGTCATTTTTAAGACATTCAGTAGATGTTGTTTAAAATATACACTACCGGTAACTTTTTTAAAACTTTTTTGAAGGAAGTGCTGCTTAATATTTTTGTGGAAACTGTGATGCACTACCATTCAAAAGTTTGAGGTAAGTTTTCTTATTAATTTATTTTTCAAATAAATGCTGTTCTATTGAACTTTCTATTCATCAAAGAATCCAGAAAAAAATATATTACAGCATATCACAAAAAAATAGATAAATAAATTTTTTTTAAAAATGTTTCTTGAGCAGCAAATCATCATAATGGTTTCTAAAGAATCATGTGACACTGAAGACTGGAGTAATGGCTGCTGAAAATTCAGCATTGCCATCACAGGAATAAATTACTTTTAAATATATATTCAAATAGAAAACAGTTATTTTAAATTATAATAACATTTCACATTTTTTACTGTTTTTACTATTTTGATCAAATAAATGCAGCCTTGGGGAGCATACGAGACTTTTTAAAAAAAATTTAATAAAGAATTTAAAATTCTTACCGACCCCAAACTTTTGAACGGTAGTGTAGAATATTTACCGTATTGGCCCGAATATAAGACAACCCTGATTATAAGACAACCCCCCTTTTTCCAGATGTACCTTTTGGAAAAAAAGCTTTTTAAAAACCAAATCTTGTTTTTTCTCAGTAAAACACATTTTGTCTTCAATTATTTTCATATTGCATATTTTTCCTATTTTAATTTTTGTTTTGAAAGTATGGTAAAAACTGGTAAAATGTACCAACAATCACATTTAAAAAATATACACTTTTTGATATACCATAAAAAAAAAAACAGGTAGCCCATCTGAATTAGGACATTTAGGCTATCCATCTAATAGTAGCCTACCAAAATCGTATTAACAGTAGAAGTTAAATCTTACTGTAGTCTTCAAATCTGGGTACTGTGTTACGTTTTAACATCACAAAGGGAGTTTGGTCCCATCAGGCTAACGTGACAGTCACGACTCATGCAGCTGTAAGGTTTTCTTTTTCTTTTGTTTTTACTCGCGATCTTTACAACACGCATTACATTACGTATTTCATGGCACACTTGTTTTGTGCATATTTGGCGCCACCTATTGTTGTGGGTGTTTGATTGACATGTCAAAGTCTAGACCCTGAATATAAGACGACTGCGTCTTTTCAGACGTATTTCCAAGAAAAAAACATCATCTTATATTCAGGTCAATACGGTACAATGTCTAACAGATGTTTGTAAACAAATGTGCCTCTTAAGAATGTTTTCCAGATGAGACACCTCTTGACCCCGTTGATACCTAGTACTGAACATCTTGTTTGAGAGCAAATTCAATATGATGCATAATTATAGCATACTGTATACACAAGCCTAATGATCAGTGTTTAACCAAAGTAAAATAAATAAAGAAAATCACTCATATGTAGAACTCTATACATTGTGGTGGAGATGATGTTCACTGACTTACATGCAGAAGAAAAAAAGGGGGGAAAAAGATAAATGTGGAATAAAAAGCAGTGGAAAGAAAATCGAGATACAGATATAAAGAATGAGGAGGAAGGAAAGACATAATGAGAAATGGAAAAGGAAAATGAGATAAGCAAGATAAAACAGGATAAATAAAATGACAGTGAGCAGGAGAAGAAGATGAAGAGGCTGGGAGTGAAGGAGAAACATAAAGATGTGAGTGAGAACATACTGAACAAGGAGAAGTTGCTGTATTTCCCAACCACTGAGACACCTGGAAGACTTCCTGAGTCTCCATAGCAACAGGGGGCGGGGAGAGAAGAAACCAAGCCAGTGACTGGATGACAGGGTGTGTGAAAGAGAATGGATAGGAAGAACGGAGACACACACACACACACACATATCTATACCAATATATCTATTTGTCTTCTACAGTGTCATATCAGCTCTTATGTGTCTCTTTATCACTTAATTTCTGCTGACTGAGCATGTGTGCAACATGTTCATTCCCAAAATACACCTGTGATCTTGTAGGAACAACAGCAGCATTCCAAATTACTTTGAGGGTGAATCTCACAAATAATAATAATATTATATATATATATAAAATGCAATTTATATAATGGTCATAAATGTATGGTCATGAAATGGATGTTGATAGCAAAATAAATAATCAAATAAATAAATAAATATTGCTGTA